TATTTCCAGCATCACGTATATTGTATATAATCAATAAAAATATTTTTTTGTACTCATAGGATATTCATCCACATTTATTGAAAAATCATGTTCAAAATCGTCTAAAAAGAATTGAAAATGGTAATGCTTTGGATTGGTCGGCCGCTGAAGCATTAGCTATCGGTTCTTTATTATATCAAGGATATAATGTGAGACTAAGCGGACAGGATGTGGGCCGTGGCACTTTTTCACACAGGCATGCAATGCTCGTTGATCAGTCGACAGAAGGTATATCTTGATATAAACCGAATATTTATATTATTTAGATTTAATGTAACTATTATTGATATTATTACAATTATTATTATTTATTATAATTATCATTGCTGTTATTGTTAAGACATAAATTTCTAGCTATTTTCATTCCACTGAATTCGATGATTAGTGGTCAAACTGGAAAATTAGAAATAGCCAACAGCATTCTATCGGAAGAAGCAGTGTTAGGTTTCGAATATGGTCTAAGTATAGCATCACCATTTACATTACCTATTTGGGAAGCTCAATTTGGAGACTTCTTCAATGGGGCACAAATCATTATTGATACATATGTAACGAGTGGAGAAGCAAAGTGGATGCTAAGTAGTGGTCTAACAATGCTTTTACCACACGGATATGATGGGGCAGGTCCGGAACATAGTTCGTGTAGACTCGAAAGATTCTTACAATTAACTGACAGTAAAGAGAATAGTGTTGATGGTGATGATGTTAACATGCATATTGCAAATCCTAGTGAACCAGCACAGTATTTTCATTTATTAAGAAGACAGGTAAGAGAAAAAATTAGAAACACAAAATATTAAGAGAAATATTCATGAAAATATTAGGAGAAAAAATTAGAATCACAAAATATTAGGAGAAATATTCATGAAAGTTGTGAATAAATAAAATTTAAATTTGTAGATGATAAGGGATTATCGAAAACCTTTGATCATAATAGGGCCTAAGATTTTATTGCGTCATCCAGCAGCAGTGTCGCCCTTGTCGGATTTTGAACCTCAGACAGGTTTCAAAGCTGTTATCGGTATGTTATATTTCTTCTGAAAATAATTCAATGTACATATAGTATAATTATATAAAAATCTACCTTTTCAATATACAATATATGCAGAATGAACTCTAACATATTATTTCAATTATGCCAATCTTTTCTCATTCAAAATTAAAAGAAAATTTTCAAGAAAACTTTCATAGTACTCAAACTTTCATTTTTTATTTAAGAAAACTTTCATAATACTCAAACTTTCATTTTTTATTTAAGGTACGCAAAAAATAGTTATGAAGATAAATATTCATGAAAAATAGAGTTGTAGACATTGCATGTTTTATTTTTATTTCAGACATATAAAATGTTGCAAAATATTCATTTTCTTTTAATTTTATATTCATATTTTTGTATATAATGAGACAGTAAAAATAATGAGAATATAATAAAAATAAGTCAGTACAAAAGAAATATATATAAGCAAATTAAAAAATATATATGAATATGATACATATATTTTACAGGTGATAATAAAGTAGAAAAATCCGACGTAACTAAAATCATTTTAGTTAGTGGAAAACATTATTACGCACTTAATGAGTATCGAGAAACTTCTGGAAATAAGAATGTAGCTATCATAAGAGTAGAAAGTTTATGTCCATTTCCTATCCAGGAATTACTAGAAGAAATTGTAAAATATGAACATGCGAAAAGTAAGTAGAGAAATATAATTATTTAATACAAAACACAATGTTACATTAATGTGAAAAAAACAATATTGTTACATATTGGAAAAAGTCTTTTTACAAGTTGGAGCATAATTGAAATATTTTTTAAATTATTTATAAACTTTTTATTAAACCAAATATGTGTCGTTTTGATCGATGACCTTTTGCCATTTTTCGGGTAGAGCCATTATTCCGTCGGTGTAGAACTTCTGTGATTTCTCGCTAAAAAATTGAGATAAATGATTTTCGCAGGCCTCTTTTGAAGTCAGATTTATTCCATTAAGGGAATTCTGCAAAGAGCGAAACAAATGGTAATCGGATGGTGTAAGATCAGGACTATACAGTGGATGTATTAAAACTTCCCAGCCAAGCTCTCTTAATTTTCGTCGAGTCATCAAAGATGTGTATGACCTAGTGTTGTCATGATGGAAGACAATGCCTTTTCCATTAATCAATTCTGGCCGCTTTTCCTGAATGGATTGCTGCAATCGCATTAGTTGTTGACAGTAGAGATCAGAATCAATCGTTTTGTCTGGCGGCAACGATTCATAATGAACGACTCCTTTCCAATCCCACCAAACACACAATATCAATTTGGGCTTTGCGATTGTTTGTGGTGCCTCATCTCGTTTCGACGACGATCTTTTTCGAACATTATTACCATATGTTATCCACTTTTCATCGCCCGTTATCAATCTTTTCAGAAAAGGCTGAATTTCGTTTCGTTTCAGCAGCGATTCGCAAATGGAAATCCGATCCGATTAAATTTTTTACCGTCAAATCATGTGGCACCCAAACATCGAGCTTCTTTGTGTATCCAGCCTTGCGCAAGTGTCCCAAAACGGTTTTATGATCAATATTTAGCTCCTTAGCTATGTCTAAGTAGCTGCTGACATGACGATTTTCTTCAATTTTTTGGAAGATTTCATCTATATTTTCCACAATAGGCCGACCAGAACGAGGTGCATCTTTGACATCGAAATTTCCATCTCGAAATCGGCGAAACCAATTCGCTGCTATCTGTCTAGTTAGAGCATCCTCTCCATAAACATGACAAATTTTTTCTGCAGCTTGCGCGGCGTTCTTTCCTTTTTTATAATAAAAAAGTAAAATGTGTAAAATGGAGATGTTCCTGATTTTCGCTCATTTTCAATTGAATGCGTTAGTATCGTTTAAATCTATCAATCTATTTCGAAATGTTATATGAAGTAGCACCTTTTCAATGATATTTAACTTAATACACACGTGAAAAATCGACCAGATCTCTATCTGTCGACTATGTACATGTAAAAAGACTTTTTCTTCTAATCCAGTATTAAAAATAGATTATTATTAAATAATAATGTTTCTGTATTTTCAGCTTTTATTTGGAGTCAAGAAGAGCCACAAAATATGGGTGCATGGAGTTTTATTAAACCACGTTTTGAGAATTTGTGTGGACGACGAGTAAGTTACATTAAATTGCACGAATTTGGTATTATTTTATGTGTAAACAATACAATAAAAAAAAAAGAACGCATAGTTAGCTTTAGAACAGATAATATTTATTAAATTATACTAATTACTAAATAAACTAAATAATTTTAATTTTAATTTTAATAATAGTCAACTTTTCTAGAATTCATCAAACAACATATTCTTATTATATATAATCTCTATTAAAATTATCTTTTTAAAAAAAATAAAAAGAAGTGTCTATAAAAAGTATATATACTCTTGTAATAAAAAAAAGAATTTTTTATTACAAAAAATTAATTTGATAAAAATTAATGCCAATTTAAAGTACATTTATTATATTAATATAACAATAAGTGTTATATACATGTTGTAATACTACAACTATATATGTTGTGTATTTTAATGCGACTCAAATATACTATTTTTGTATGTTAGTTTATTTTTAAATTGGTTTAAGGATTTAGAATTTAGAATTTGAAATGAATTCCTCAACAGAATAATGCAATTCTATGACCTATGTGCGCGATAAAAATGTAATAATATAAATGCACGCGCGCGCGCGTATAATATTTCATTATTTATTTTTTATAATTCATAATTTTTATAATTTTCAGTTAAAATATTGCGGTCGAGAATCGATAGCAGCGCCAGCCGTTGGAGATGGTCAAATGCATCAGCAAGAAGCTAATGAAGTTATCATTAAGCCATTTATGTTGAAATAAAAACCAAAAGATTAATAAATTAATTAACCAAAAATTAATAAATTCATCACATATTCCCGCTTAACAATTACTCAACAAAAATAATATCTTACAATTGGATATTAATTTTATTAATAGAATTTTTGTTAGTTTTATTAATTTTATTAATTTTGTCAATAAAAAAATGTTATAGGAACATATAAAATATTGTAGACATTATCTTTTTATTTGTCAATGTACATTTGAGAAGCTTAAATGAACTATTAAAAAAAATAAAACACTTTTGTTCTTATTTACAATATTACAAAACATAGATTTTATAAAATTCATGTTTTTATAATACACTTGGATTTCTCTTATATGGTATAGAAATCAAGTGCTAAATATTTAAGAAAGATAGCAAGCAGCAGCAGTATCTAAGACTACACATCAACATATCACTTATTCATTTTTTTGCTTGTAAGAAGCAATACACTGATAAGATATTCAATAAATATTATTAATTACATTCTAAATTTTATTTTCATGTTTCAACAATGTTTTTTATTTTTTCCTTCAAATAAAACTTTATCTTCTCAACTTATTCTTTTCAAATGACAAAATATTAATAAAACTATATTTTTTTTATTTTTTTTAGAGAAAAGATCAACGATTATTATTCAATCAGTTGCCACTATCCTTTTCTTTCTTCAAATTTTCATGTTCTCTTTGCATGAGGGCTTGCAATTCATCCTAAAATCATAAATTAGTTTTCAGGTTGTTCTATACAAAAAATTTTATGTTCTATTTGTAAAAAAATAGAATAAATCAAGATATAATTAATTTATATTTTAAATTATACTGGCAATAGTAGAAAACAAAAAATAGGATTAAAAATGTAAAAATTTTACCCCCCAGCCAAGTTTATCTGCTAATAGTTGGCAACCTGTGTCGCAGTCACCTAACCAAGCTACGTCGCGTCCTCCGTGCGCATTCTTCGTATCAAATACCAAGCCCTGCCGTAATCCTAAGAAACGCGATATACGATCTTGCATACCTACTTTTTCATTGTTGATAAGTAGACGAGGACAAGTAGCTCGTACCCTTAAAAATAAAATTTTTAATAATTTTAAAAATAAATTTTTAATTTATATTAAATATTTTTAATATTATATAATACTTCTCATAGAATTACTCTTAATTATATTGCTTATACATACCTATCTACTAGTGATGCAAAAGGTTGTACTACTAAACTTGATCCCATAATAATTAAAAGATCAGCTTGTACAAAATCTTGATCAGCAAGTATTTGGAAACGTTCGGGTAGCATTTCACCAAAAAAGACTATGTCAGGTTTTACAACACCTTCATCACATTTGTCGCATTTGGGTATTAAGCCTTCTATTATTTTTTCTAGTCATTTAAAATCATAATTAATATTTCATCAATCACTCGATATCTCATTTTTTTATTTTAAGCCTACTCAAAAATTTCAGTTAATTAAAAATAGGAAGAAATTTTTGTATATTGTATACATACACATATACACATACATACACATATACATGCACGTGAATATCATATGTACATACATTTGAATTTAAAACACTCAATTTTAGATACTTGATTGTATTATATATTATTTTAAGGCTCCTGCTGAGTCACTGCAGCCATTTCGAATTATATCAGAAATAAAAAAAATACATGATAAAAATTTTTGCAAAATATATTAAAATGGAAATATTTTTGATAAAATAATATTTAATTAACAGAACAAACTTGTAAAATATACTAAAATAGACTAAAAACTATCCTTTTGAAATAATCAATAAATAGCCACATATCTAGAATTGAATTATGGCAATTATTCTTGATTAGTTAAGTTCCATTTTAATATATTTTATAAGAATTTTCATTATGTTTTTTTGCTTCTGACGTCATCAATCCGGATATGAGTGATCAAGAACTTAAATAGATAAATTTCTATTGAAAAGAAATTTTGCAAAATATCTACTATAAGTTTCGTGAATAAAATACTAATAAAAATATGAGACAATATATTTAAAGAATATTATACTATTTTTATTCTTCATCCGTTTCTAATATAGATCTATATCTTCTATTTAAATAACAGACATATATTATAAAAGTATACCTTTCATCCATGGAAGTTCATATGATTCTCGACATTTAAGACAATGACCAGTATGAAATGTTCCATGAGCTTCCACTAGTTTGTCAGATGGTAATCCAGCTATACGTTCCAGAGTATCAATATTTTGTGTATAATGCCGTAACAAAAGACCCTTTTCCCATAGTAAACGAATAAAATAATGACTCTTTGTTGGATTGAAACCTTCAGGAAGTAATTCCTTTGCAAGTGTGAAGAATGGTTCTGGATTCTTCATAAAAACTCTAGTTCAAAAATAGCTTGTGGATGTGGTAAATTATATTTATCTAATTTATGATAAAGTCCACTAGATGGAGAACGAAAATCTGGTATTCCAGCAGCTGTAAAAAGAAAAAGAATATATATATATATATATATACACATACACACACACATGCATATGTACAAATAAATTATACTATCTACTAATATCTCAAGGAATCACTGGATACAAATATGTAATTCATAGAATAATTTATAATTTTTTTTATATTAAAATATTTATATTGTGAAAGTTATATGTAGATAATTTTTGCAAGTAATTACTGTGCTCACAATAAAGATTAATACCATTTAATTAACATTATATTTGTTAGGTTTATCTCCTTTATGAAACAAAAGGAAACGATCATTTATACAGATCTATATGTAATTTTATATATTTATTTTATATATGTATATTTATTATATATGTATATTTACGTACATGTAGAGATTCCAGCACCTGCCATAGTAATAATTTTGCAATTCGCTTTTTCTTTAATATATTCAACAATTCCATCTAAATCAAATTTACGAAGAACAGACTGTTGTAATTCATCGCTATGATTATTGGTTGACAAATCAATAAGTCTTAATTTTTTAGCTATATATCTGCCTAATTTCTCCATTTCAGAATGATCTTCTACTTCTAATGGAGCCAATGAAATATTTTGTTTCTCTTCATTTGAATCACTGTCTGGAACAAATGAAAAAAGATAAATGTCTAAATGTACATATATTATTCTAATAAAAAAAATATACGTAACCTGCAATATATTTTCATCGCAAGTATTTTTTATAATCATAATAAATAAAATTATTTTTATATTAAATATTGTATTAAATTATTGAATAAAACAATTATTTATGTTATACAATTCAGTACAAATGAGTCACAATATAAAAAATAAAGATATAAAAAAAAATAGAAAAAAGTATAAATTAACATAACATTCCGTATATTATTTCTCGTTGCTTCGTAATTTGAAAAAAACTAATGTCTTTTGAAAAATCACCTCTTCGATTTTCTTTAGTCTCCTTGTCCATTTTGTAACGCGATACGATAATACGATTAATATTCGATTTGGCAAAGTGCGATTTGTATATAGCTATTGATAATATATTCACTTCATAGATGATACGTACAATCACGATAGAAAATTTATGCGATAAATTAAAAGTTATACGCGATATCAGGAATATTTTTCATTTTGAGTCTTACGTAGGTAGGTGCGTAAAATTTTTATAACTCTTTCATATTTTCAAATATTATAAATACATATACATAATAACTTATTGAATACACTGTGTCACACAACACACATTTGTATGTACATACACCACACTTGAGTACATTGATTGTAATATTCTGCGTTCTACTTTACGCTCAGCTGTGTATACCAATAACTGAAGACGCGTTCAGAAGACAACACAATCGCGTTCAACAAAACGCTTATTTTACAATTGTTGAAAATATTCTGTGCTGTAATTGGATTATATTTTTAGTTCTAAAGGAATAGTCCAATCGCATAAAAAACTTCCGAGTTGCAATAAAATTCTATTGAAAGCAACTAACAAATACGTTCAAAAGCATAATCGTTTTGAGCGCTTGGGCTCATATTCTGAATCCTCTTCTTTTGATAAAGGTGCCTCTAAAGGTGGTTTACAGCCAATCAGGAATCGACTGTGTATTTTTAAACAAGGTGAAAATTACAAAAGTAAAGAAATTTATTAACCTTCAGTCATATAAAAATGTAGATATTCTAATCAATTTCCTTACTTTTGTAATTTTCATCTTGTTTCAAGACAATTATTGAATAAAATTTCGACACAATCGACCTCCAAAAGATTTATAAGCCTTTCTTACAGACATTTTCATTGACAAAAGGGGATTCAAAATATGGACCATTTAATTAGTATATTTTTTAAATATAAAAGAATATACTAATCGAACACAAGAGCAAGTGCTCATTTTGATTGAAACATTCTTTTATATTTAACATAAATCTAAGAGTATACTCCAATCAGTGAGCGTTCATCGAGCATTTAGTGAGCTCTTGTGTTCGATTGATCTTTTCTTCTAAAAAGATCTTTTCTTCAGTCTTTTACATTTAAAAAGAATATATCAATCAAAAGCGAAAGCACACTACGTGATCAAATGTGCTTCTGGAGGCATCCAATGAGAGCTTTGCTTTTCCGGATGTCAGGCGGAAAAGCAGAACTCTCATTGGATATCACTTATCGCGCCCGTCGCGTTCAATGTGCGAGAGGAGAGGAAATACATAGAGAATTTATTTTTCGAGATTGGCAGCCCTGAGTCTAAAGTTTCACGCTTTCGTCACACGAGGCCTCTAAAATCAATTCGGAGTTACTCCGTCACTCCTGTGTCGCGACCCTTAAATCTATTAATATTATATCTATGGTAACAGAAGTTGGTGTCAAAGGCTTACGTTAGCGTGCTTTTCATGAGTTCGGTACAGTTTGATGCAATGATATGATATGGTGGGCATTGAGTGGGGAACATGTACAAAAATGTAGCTCAGTGTAATTAAGTAATGGGACAATGCGAATGTGATCGTGTTTACGTTCTGACTATATCGCGCGTGTTTAGATAGCCTGATTATGTGCCTATAATAGTTTACCTTCCAAAGCAATGTAGACACGACGAAATAGTCAAGGAAATCGTTTCGAGTGTTGATCAGTGTTACTTTCTATGCTTTTTTCTGTCAATGTCATACAAAGTTACAAAATGTGAAGCATACGAGGATATGAAAAAAGGATGAAGAGTTCTTTATGGCATAAAAATCTACTACACTCCAAGGGTGCGCAATTTTCCAAATTTTATATTATTAAATTCCTATAATTATTATTCGTTTCGTATTTATATACACCTTATAACACTCTCTGTCTTTTCTCAGGTTCTCGCATTTTTTTCATTCCTTTCTCCCCCTCCTACCTTCCCCCTCTTTTTCACCCTTTCCATCTTCTCCTCTCCTCTCTTTCTCCCTCTCTCGTCTTCTCTTCTTTCTTCTCTCTAGTTTTTTTTTTATCACCTTTTCTATTCTTTTTTTCTCTGTTTCTTTTCCCTTTCTGTTCCCTTTACTCTACATAATACGATATATAAATAAACTTTTAGCTATTTACGTTTTTAATTCTTCTCTACATGTATTAATTGTTATTTCATGGTAATAGTTCATAGCTTCATATAACAGATTATAAGTTTTATCTACACTTTATTTTTAAACTTTTAAATTTTTGAGAATAATTTATTAAAATTTAATTATAAGTACTAAGTAATCATTAGACAAATGACATTCTATATAATAATTTCTGTTGTATTTTTTCTTCCATTATAGCTATTCATATAAATTTAAAAACAAAAAAAACAATTGAAAAATTATAAATTATTACATAATGTAATAGAATGTTATTATGAAAATTTGAATCAATATTGAACATAATTAGAAAATGTTTATTAAGAATTATATATTACTATATTTATTATATTTTGAATAATTATAAATTTTTTATTTTTATTTGGCTGATTAATTGCTATTATTTTAAGCACAATCTTTTTAATTATTTAAATAATTAATCTTTTAAATTAAATGAATTATATTCAAAATGCATGTACATACATACAGTCGTGATTATTTTTCATATATTGTATCATAAATTTATATCAGTATTATATGTATATTAGTGAATTATATATATTATAATTCTATCAGTATTTTATGATGATATTTGAAAGCAAATTGATAACTGAGGACCAATATGAATTTAAATAAATTTTTATTGGAATTGTTCAGTTATTTTCTAGATTTTTACTATAAAATTAATTTAAAAGAATATAGTTAATAGTTAAAAAAAGATTCGCGAAGATGGTATTATTTTAGTATTATTTTATTTATTTTTATTAATATAAAAAAATTCAGTTCTAAAAACATTTTTTATATTTTTAAAAATTAAAAAAACTTTGCATTTTTTCAACAAAAAATCGAAAATGAAAAAATGTGCTAATTTCGCGAATCTAGTACGATTGTTTTCTCTTTAATGTACAAGAAGATAATAAATATCAGTGACAACAGTTTCTGTCAATTCTACTATTCGAGTTTTACTATTGAGTATAATTTGAAAAAAAATTCCAAGAATTATCAATTTTTCACACATTTTAAATATACCTAGCATGACACTTCGAGAAAAAAATGCCGCGCTCATATTACCGCTTTTTGAACGACTAATATCTCATAAACTCTAGATTTTTCTGACACTTTTATGTCTAAAATAACTAGAGAGGAATCATATTATGTAACAAGAAATATATGATTCTATTTAAAAAAATTGCGACCATAAAAAGATATTGACAACGGCTTCATCCGCGAATAAATATCAATAATGTAATCATATAGTTCCCTCGAAATCCTACAATCCTTTTGTCTGAAACATTTTTCACGGTAATCAGTTACAAATTATTCGAGGTGACAGTTCAAATAAGACACTCTATACACACGCACGTCATTGACTTAATTAGATTAAAAATATATCTAGCAAACATTCAAACATTGATAAGATACAAAATATATATTTTAAAAATTACGTATCGATCGTCTTGCAATTCATGAATCATTGGCACGTACATTTAGCGATGAGCCGCTATCATGTCTCGTAAGATTTAAACCCAATTGGGCCTTTTTTAAATACAAGAAACATAACTATCGACACAAATACGTTGGCTAGAGTAACAATGATAATAATAATAATAATCGCGATGCTCCTTAAATATAAATTTCCAGATTGGATCTTGCGCTGAAATATCTTCGCTTGTAGGCGATAATGCATATAGGAAAAAAAAAAAATAATAATAAAAATAGTTTTGCGTAAACCAAAGAAGTACTTTGGACCTCTTTCATCATTTTTGTTCATCTAATCGCTTGATTATTCCATGGAAATTGACCATTTATCTTTAAATTTGTCAACAAGTAGGATTAGTTAATTACAATAAAGTAATCGATCGATTAAATTAACCGAAGAAAAGAAGAAAGATGAAAGAGACCCTAAGAATTTCATCGGTTTGAAATCTGATTATCTCAGATATTCGCAACGAGGCGACTCGCGTATAGACACATAGGTCAGTCGTGAGACGGCACATTTAGCGCGAGCCACGAGCATGTCTCCTTAGTAAATTAAATAAAATGTTGAATGATGTTTTAATTTTCGTAATTTTTTTTCGTCACTTATATTTTTAAAATTTATTACATTTTTTTTCTACATTTATTCCTTTAAAAGAAAATTAAAACATTAAAAAATACGCCCACATACAAGTTTTCGAAAATAATATTTATTTATTAATGTAACAATCATCGGTCATATATTATAATATAATAATCATGTATGTGTGTGTGTGTGTGTGTGTGTGTGTGTGTGTGTGTGTGTGTGCGCGCGCGCGCGCGCGCGCGTGTGTGTGTGTATGTGTGTTTATCTTAATGCGACACCCAGACGCATCGACTTTTTGTATGTCAATTCTTGATCTTAAAACCGTTTTGATATTAAAAAGCAGTAGGATTATTAAATATATTACTTTAATAAAATAAATTGTATTTTACATTTCAATATAAATATTTGAATATTTTATCATATTTTTTCGATTTAATCTAGAATCTGAAAGATAGACGTAACGTTCCTTGGATTATTTTATATTTTTTCACGTTACTTTCTTATGTTCACGTTTCTAATGAAAACAAGAATAATACATAGTCAAAAAGTTATATTCCATTACCACTATTAAATTTTCTAGCTGGAAAAACTCTTTGACGTATGCATACAGATGTGAGAACTTGAAACAATGGGCACTTTATAAACATAAACCGAGTATCACTTCATAATATCCCGTCTCAACGTAAACATGCGTACAATCATCTTTTAGATGAATCTTGTACTTTTGATCTGATTTTGCGCGATCGGAGTTCCACTCCAATTTTAATCATATACAATATAACAATTTTACACTTAGCATAAAATACTTTCTTCTTTAGAAAGGGAAAATAAAAGAAAGATTATTTCAATGTACATGTTTGTGGGTTACGCACCGTAGTCACGCAGTCTCATTGCCAAATATGGCTGGCCGTGATATTCTTAGCACTTCTCGACTACGAACGACACTCGACGGAATCGCCCGACAAGTAATACCTATCATCGTCCACATCTTCCTCCGCCTTCCTCCGCTTCCGCTCGCTTTCGCTTTTCTTTTTAATTGTTTCGTCAAGATTTTCTTTTCGGTAAAGAATAAAAGGGAAAAACTAGCGTACAAGTGTCAAAGAATCGAACGTACGTTGGCATGAAAAACTTATGGATTAATGTAAAATTATTACAAGTTAAATTTATGATAAAAGTACGTCAGAAAGATATTGGCTTTGCAAATAGATATTGGCTTTGCAAGCCAAATAGAGCAAAGATTAATTTAAAAAGACAACTTAAATAAAAAATAAAATTTTTAAAAGAGGACTAAAGGCATACAGGCTTACTTCCACAAAACAAGAACAATTCTAATATTTTTAGTTTTTTTACTGAGAATATAATATAAGTAAACTTTTTCTATTTTATTGATTGATGACGGGGTTTATGTGCGATGACGATAAACATTTTTTTTCCAACCTTTTGCTTGTTTCACGTGCGAAGCAAAGGAGTGAACAGCGACTAGTTTGTTACCACGATATCAGCCCTTTAACGCCAATTAGGCCATAATTAATTGATTGTCGAGAATAGCCAACGAGATTATTAAGGTCAGTAACGGTAGTTGACCCATAGAACGACGTTATCATAGTTAATATATAGTTTCTCCAGTGAATTTTTTTTATTATACCTGCAATTTTGCACGAAAAAATAGGATATTTATTAACTTTCGAAGTAATATT